CCGGCTGCACGAGCCCCGCTTACCAGGCCCGGGGACGCTGCCGAGGAGCGGAGCGGCGGGAAGAGCGGCCGGCTGGGCCCTGCCGCCGCTGACGCTGCCCCCTGGTGGCCGGCGCCGGGAGCTCCCCCGGCTCTGCCAGCCCCAGCGCCCCCCGGCTCTGTGCCGCCCCCACCTGCGCCCCAGCTCCCCCAGCCCCACGGCTCTGTGCGGGGCCAGCGCCCCCAGCCCTCTGCCCACGCTCCCAGTCCCTTCCTGGGGGGCTGTGGTGCCCCCAGGCCCGGGCGGGGGCCGCTGCGGCGTGGCCGGGACGCTGCAGCCAGGGCAGCCCCAGGGCTGCTGGACCAGAGGAGCCTGGAGCGATTCACTCGCCCCCCCCCGGGCCCTGAGCCGAGCGCCAGGGCTGCTGGAAAGCACCTGCCCCTGGGGACCGGGGGCTTTTCCCGGGTGTCAGTTAATTGACAATGAGTCGCGGCTGAGCGGTGCCGGCTCGTCCCCTCCCGGGCGGTGCTGGCAGATGGTGGCGCAGATCACTTCCAAGCTGGCCTCGCCGTCGCCAGAGGGGAGACGGGCTGGGGGCTCCCACCCCCGGCCCCCGGCTAGTGCCCCGCCTCAGGGACAGTCACCTGAGGAGACCTGGCACAGAGCATCATGGGTAAAGACAGCCAAAGCGGCTTTGGGGGGGGGCTGGGGGCTAGCCGGGACCTCTTGCACTGGGGAGGTGGGGCATCAGATTGGGGCACAGCTCCGGGAGCCGAGCCCCTGAAGGCGGGAGCTGCAGGCGGTGCGGCCAGGCGCAGGACCTGGCCACCAACTCTGCTCACTGGGATGGCGACAGAACTCCAGGACGTTCCAAAAACCAAACCTGGTTCCAACGTCAGGCCAGGCTGCGAAATGAACCAGCGCTGCCTTAGCACGGGCTGAACACGCTCCTCACCGAGGACAAAGAAAGGCTAATGGAGCCTGGCTGCACACTGCTCCGGAAAGACTGCTACACTGCACACCGTCCGAGCCCCCGGGCCGCAGCCTCACCAACAGGCCTGCACTGCCTGACCACACTCAGCTGGAGGAGGGACGGACGCTCTGACCTGCAAATGGCGCCATCACACCGGCTGAACCACCGTGTCCAGCATGAGGCCCTGGGGTGTGGGTTTGCGGGTGCTCAGCACAAGCCCGTGGGCCATGGCTAGGCAGGCAGGCTGCCCTTGTGGCTAAAACGCTCTGGGTTCAATGCTGCGTTCTGGCCCAGAGTCTCTGTGCCTCACAGACACCCCCACCCCTCCAGAAGCAGCCAAGCTCTTTCCCCTGCCTCCCGGGGACGGAGGGGCATCGCTTGGGCTCTGTCGGGACAAAGAGGGGATTACAATGACCTCCATGATGCCCCTCCCCCCAAGATGTCTGCAAGGGGCTTGGACTGGATCCAAGTAGCCTCGGGCTGCTTTGGGAAAGCAGGAAAGTGGCTGTGGGTGAAGCTGGGGGCAGACGCCCCTCCCCACCGAACACCTGCAAGCTGGACCTGAGCCACTGCAGAAACCAAAGCCAGCTAATCCGCTTGGATTTCGGGCTCAGGTTTCCCTGCTTGTCCCTGTAAAACAGCAGCAGGGCTGGGCTGGGCCAGGCCCCATGTGCCAGTTTCCGTCCCTCTCTGCCAGTCAGTGTTATTCAAGACGCCTCCCCTGACTTGTGCGGTTCAGGCACCTCGGCGCCTCCTGGCTACACCCCACCAGGGCGGAAACGTCGCTCCCAATGCCACGAGTTGCAATTAGCCAGCCCTGAAAGCGCCGCACAACGGGGGCTCCGCGCGCCAGCTGCTTTCCCTGGCGCCGTATACAAGAGGGCTCGGGGTATAGTTATTTCTAGGCCTTTCCATGGCCCCATCGCTGTGGTAGCCTCCCAAAGGACACATTTCTGCAAGTTCCCTGTGAGGAATGCAGCTCTTCCCCCATGTTACCTGGGGGGCCGCGGTATGAAGGGACCAGCACAAGGTTCCTTCCTGACCCCAGATCTGGTGATTGGTTAGACCCTGAGCACATGGGCAAGATGCAGCAGCCAGACACCTGGGAGAGAATTCTCTGCAGTGACTCAGAGCCCTCCCCAGCTAGTGTCCCATCTCCAGCCGGCCCGGGGGATCCTTGCTGCTGGCAGTCGCAGATCGGCTACGTGCCATCGGAGGCAGCCCCATCACACCATCCCCTCGAAAACGTATCAAGCTCAGGCTTGAAGCCAGTTAGGTTTTCTGCCCCCTCTGCAACCCTTGGGGGGCTGCTCCAGAACGTCACTTCTCTGATGGCTAGAAACCCTCTCCTAATTTCCAGCTGAGACTTTCCCTTAACTGAACTAACTCCTCTCCCTGCCTGGTGTTACCCCTTGGCTGGATTTATAGCCAGCGATCAGCTCTCCCCTCACCTGCGTTTGTCAGGCTAAACAAGCCAAGATCCCCTCTCATGAGGGTTCATCCTAGTAGTCCTTCTCTGCACCCATTCCAGCTAGAAGTCATCTTTTGTAAACACGGGAGACCAGAACTGCACCCAGCATTCCAGGTGAGGTCTCCCCAGTGCCTTGTACAAGGTATTAACACTTCCCTGTCTCTGCTAGAAATCCTTTTCCACGGGCACATCCCACCGGTGGCTCCTAGTTGTGGACAAGGGGAGCGAAGCCAGCCACAGAGCATTCAGACACCAGGAGTGGAGTGAACCATTGGGTCAAGTCCAATGTAGACGTCCACCTAGATCTGTGTTCCCCTCTTCCCCACGCGTGCTCCGGCCCAGCCCAGCCTATGGCTCACTTTGCCTCTTGGGAAGGAAGGCTCCTGATGGGCACACACACACTGCAGCTTCCTGGCTGGCTGGGTAAGTGGGGCCCCAGCCTCAAACCCTGAAGACGCAGTGACCCTGGCAGCACCGGGGGGTGGCACCAGGCGAGAGCATGGTGTACAATGGTGGTAGGTTCATGGCGCTCAGCAGCCCAATGGCAGGGTCTAGCCCCCCCAGGGGGTGGGAGGCCCACATGGGAGGGGGATTTCAGCTGCGTGCAGGATTGTGGCAGCACAGTTTGAATACTTGGCCGTGGCCATGATGGGGTTAAAGGAACGTCTCAGCCCAGCTCCATTCCCAGGCTGAACACAGGTTTTAGACGGGGTGTAACCCAGCTTGGCTCTGTTATCACCCGAGCGCAATGGCGCTGAGGCCAGCTACAGCTCTGGGGAGACAGGCCCATGTGCTCCCAGCAAAGGGGCAGTGGGAATCACAACATTCAGCTAATTTGGTTTGTAAATGGTGCGGTAGGTGGAAATCCCCAGCCCTGGTGCTGGCTAAGGACCCAAAGTCTGGCACCGGACACAACTGTGCCAAAGCCATGGAGAGACAGTGCCGGCAACAGCCCCTGGCCTTTGGCCAGATGCCCCGGGACCCCTGTGGCCGGCTGGCCCCTCACTGCTCACAGGGGCAGCAGGGCCCCCCGCGTGCCCTGAGGCAGCAGACAGGGACTGCGGAAGAGCTGGGCCCTGCGCGAGGGGCAGGCAGGATACGGTGACCAGACAGCAAATGTGAAAAATCGGGACGGGGGTGGGGGGTAATAGGAGCCTATATAAGAAAAAGACCCCAAAATCGGGACTGTCCCTATAAAACCAGGCCATCTGGTCCCCCTAAGGCACGGCCAGGGCTGACCAGCCCCCAGCCCGCCAGCAGGAGGGAGACAGGGCGAGGGGCTGCCCTTCCGCCAGGCAGCACAGGGTGGAGCAGGGCAGAGTAATAGCATAGCAAAAGTGAAACTGCTGCTGCTTGAAAAGGGGAAGTTTGGAGGGGGGGCGCTGGTCCAGGATTGGCTGCCCTGGGCTTCCCGAGGGGGAATTGCCTTGGGCGTCTCTGCATAAAACAGCCAGAGCTGGAGGGGCAGCCAGGCAAGTGGGGACGGGCACCGGCTGGAGAGGGAGGGAAGGAGCCCGGCTTCGCCCCCCCCCCCCGCCTGTCTCTGGGCAGCCTGGGGCCACCCAAGCGGACTCCATGCTCAGCTGGCAGCGTGCACAGCCCTGTCCCTGGCCTGCCCGGCTGCCTCCTGCCCAGTGCAGCATTGGGCTGGGGCACAGCGGGGGAGCCTGGTGCCCAGAGGACCCCACGCAGCCCCCAGTCTGACCCGGGGGGCTGGGGAAAGCTCCCGAACCCGGCACAGGCCGAGGACGGCGGCACAGGACAACGCTCCCGCCCTCAGGACTGGCAGGTGAGAGGAGGGCGCTGTGCCCTGGCTGGGAGCGCTGCACTTGACTGGCACAGCCGGGAGCTGGCATTCGATCCCTGACCCTGTCCAGCCACTTGCTGCGGTGCAGGTTTGAATCCCACCCAGAGGTTTCCTATTTGCTCCCTGTCGCCCGGGGGTGTTCAGGGCTCCTGACCGAGCGACCGACCGAGGGGTGGAGGAGCCAAGTGCCCCTGGGCTGGCCCTGCCATGTGTCTGGGGGCAGGAGAAAGCTGGCAGCACCACAGCTGGGGTGTGGCCCCCAGCGGGGAGCCCGGGCGGAAATGAATCGGAGCGCACGGGCAAGGCGCGCACAGGCTGCCCACCCACCTGTGCCCAGGCTGGGAAGCCAGCGCCCTTAGCCAAGGGGACAGGAGGGCTTTGGTTCACCCCTTCTCCTCTCCACTGCCCCTCCCTCCCCCAGCCTCTCACCCCCATGTGGGAGGGCACCTCCCCCAGCTGCGACCACCCACGGTGAGCCCAGGCCTGCGCCACGGGTGGAATGGCCGAGCGGCAGGCGCTGGCTGTGCTGAGCACGTCTCTTCTCTCCCCGCCAGACTAGAGCCCTGGGGGTAACACGCTGGGTCCCCAACCAGTCACTAAGGCCACTCTCCAATGGCAGTGTCTGCGATCCACCATCCCATCCATGCACCCTCCGCCCCGGCACCCCACCCTTCGGCCTGCACACGGGTTAATCCAGCCCCAGACGTGGGAACCCCTCTAAAACCTTCTTGTGACCCACCGCTTGGCATACACGGGCTAGGGGAGACACCGCTAGCTTAGTCACTCCTCCCTTGGGCTGGAATTCCCCCCAGCCTAGCCCCACTTCTGACCCATGGCACGGAGGGAGGGACCTGCTGAACA